TTCCCTCTTCCTAACCTCACTATTTCTATTGAAGGTACCACTGTCCTTCTAGTCACTCAGTAGTCATTATCTACTCCTCAACTCTGTCTCATCCCCCATATCTAACCTATTGCCAAGACCTGTCAATTTTACCTTCATCACATCACTTCCATATGCCCACTTCTTTCCCCTGGCATTGTCTTGCCCCTGGTGCAGGCCTCACCTATTGTAGGAGTCTGCTGATTGTTTTCTCTTCCCATTCCAGTTCATCTTCCACTCAACTGTCAAAGTGATCTTCCTAAATAGCAGACTTCTGACCATGTAACCCCCTTCTCAGTAAACTCCAGGGGCTCCCTGTCACCTTCAGGATAAAAAAATTTTTTTTTTTTGGCTAGGCAGTGGGGTTAAGTGACTTGCCCAGGGTCACACAGGTAGTAAATGTTATGTGTCTGAGGCCAGATTTGAACTCAGGTCCTTTCAGGATCAAACATTAAATCCTCTGTTTCACATTCAAAGACCTACATAAGCTCTGGCAATCTTGCCCCCTTTTTTTCCAGTCTTCTTACACTTTAGCTTCTCCACTTCAGCCCTCACACTCTGTGATCCATTGACATCAGCCTCCTTTGCTGTTCCTTGAACAAGAAATCCTCTTGCTCAGGGTGGTCCTCTAGGCCAGGAATGTCTCCCCTCCTCATCTCTGCTTCCTGGCTTTCTGCTAAAAGCCCACCTTCTGCAGGATTCTCTAGTGCCAGCACCTTCCCTCCATGGGTTATTTCCTATTTATCTTCGCTGTGGCTTGTTGGTCCTTAGTTATTTCATGTTGTCTCCCCCATTGCACTGAGAGCTGCTTGAGGACGAGGGGGCTGTCTTTTACTTTGCTTTGTATCTTTGGTGTTTAGCACAGTGCCTGGCACATAGTAGTCACTTAATACATGTTTATTGACTGACTCACTGACTGACACAAATATATTTAGCTTTTTTGTGTTATGTCTTTTTTGTTCCGTCATTTTTTTTTTGGCAGTGAAGTAGAGAACCCTTTGGATAGCAAGATTAGCTATCTGCTAATGGAAAAGTGCTGTCCATTTTTGCAAAGAACTTGTTGCATATGGAGTTCTTATCACAGAAGTCTATGTTCTTGGATTTAATGATCACTAAGCAGCTATGTTTGGTTGCTTTTATATCTTGTTTGCCTGTGCTTACTAGTATTATTATTTTTGCTTTCCCATTGGGGTATGATTAGCAGTCACTGATTTTATTAAGTGTTTCCTTTTTAAAATGTAGGCAGATGTTCAGCTGTTCAGAATGTTATCCTTGGGTACAGGTTGGGTTTCTTTTATATTTTGGTAGGTCATATTCCAGTCTTCCCTTCCCTTTCTCATTACTTATGGATTGTTCTGTGTGATCCCAAATATTGCTCTTAGTAAGTGAACTGTATCTTCCTGTTGGCTTGCAGGGTACTAGGGAACCCTTGACCACTTCCCCTTCCCACACTCTATATATAAATTTTGCCAGTTTAAGGGTGATGAAAAAACAAAGTTAGAGCGCAGGAATTTTTAACCATTTTTTCCTTCATAGATCTCTTTGGCAGTCTGATAAAAAACGTATGGGCTCTTCAGAATAATGCTTTTAAATGCATAAAAAAAGATGCATAGGATTGCAGAGGAAACCAGTTGTGTTCAAATATAGTTATAAACTTGTTTTAAAAACAACTTCATAGATCCCAGGTTAAGAACCCCTGAATTAGAGCTTTGTTGTGAGTTCTCAAAATGCTGGTAATTTAAAATGTCAGACCTGTCACCTTCCAAAACCCATCAAGCATGGCTCTTTTAAGAATGGCCCAGCTGGAGAAGCAGCTGTATTTTCCAAAATAGAGGAACCAGAACTGGAACCCAGATCTGCTGACTCCTCTGGTGTGGTCCTTCTCTTATTTACTAGTGCAGCTTTGACCTTTATGGTAGATAAAATTGGTTCCAAGCTGCCACCCAGGTAAAGGCTGGGCTAAAGTAGAACAAACTAAGATTGTATGAAACTGGTGCTGTCTGTGAGGTAGGTCTGGAAGCCCTGGGAACGATTTATCTCTTAGGCACAACTTTGCCTGCTAGCTCTTCTGTTTGCTTTTAGGCTGTAACTTAGATAAACAATTGCTCATGCTTTTTTAGTTTACTATAACTGGCACTACGTAAGAGAGATGTGTCTATTGGATGTTTAACATTTCTTATTCACACCATCTTTTATACCAAATTGTCCATGTTCCTTATAATTCCCCATTAATGTCTCTGTAACTTCAGCTCACTAATGAGTTTTTTCTGTTTCCCTAATCCTCATTTTTTTTTCAATTCAGAGTAGTCCTTTCAGCAGGTTGCTTCCCTTAGTGCTGTAGAAATGTGAATTGTTGTTATTGTTGTTATTATTATTCTTTTCCTTATTACTCCCACTAAATCCATTATCCCATCACAAAGGTTTTAGTATCTCCCTTTTTTTTTAAACTGCTTTTCTTCAAAAGTCTTCAGGAACTTCAGATTGTCTCAGCAATTCCTGAACAGTTCTTTCAGCATATTTTAGAATTATTGGTCAAAAAATGACAGGTAACTCAAAGTCCATTGAAATAGAAAATACCGAGGCAAAAAGAGTTGTATGTGTTGTTGTGCTCTCCAGTTAAACAGTATGAATTAAAAAAAAAACAAACAAAAGCAAAAACATTTTAATTGAAAAGAGAAAAAAGCAAAGATTTAAAAACCTCTGTAGTTTGGGGGTTTTTTTAGTATTCTGAACAGATAATTTTTAGCTGTAGAATTTGTTAACATAGTAAATAAACCTCAACTATCTGGAACTCTTGAAGAGCAAATGATTCTCCATAGTGATTTTTTTTAACTCAGCTGTACTCCTTTAATCACTACTGTTTTTAAAATCTTAGCCATTTTAATGGAAATCTTTTAAAAATATATTATGCATTTTAACCTTTTCTTGATTAGGGCCATCACTGCCATATCAGTTATTACACTGTACTGTGAGACAGTTGTGTTCTCAGGACTTTCTTTTTGGTTCCTCCTATCTCAGTTGTTTTTTGTTTTTATGCAGGCTCATGTTAGGTTTTCTTTTTCTTTCTTTGCCCACATTTGCCATTTTTTTGTTCCTGTCTATATGCTTACCTGTAGCACAGCCCTCCTTAGACTGTCTTTTGTGGTCTGAAAACCAGAACAGCCAACTTAGGAGAATTGTCTTGCAAAGCAGAAGTAGATCGTCTAGTCCCTGAGGAGTAAGAGCTCAGTGCCTCGAGTGCATGGGCTTTTGTGTCAGTGTTTTGTAATCTCTCTTTTTACTACCCAAAGTCTTTATTGCTTTGCTCTAGTTCTCAGTAGCCAGATTAGTCAGGTAGGACTGTATTTTTGATTATATAATATACATTAGGAATTGTATTATATTAGAGGAATATTTGTTAATGTCTTATAGAATGTTTTTCTGGAATTTTTATCCTTTTTGAGGTTACTAATTGATTGTTAAACAAGACTTATATTGTGAACTTAATAGATTCTTATGCAAATCTTCAATTAAGAGGACAGATGAAACAGGGAATTGACAGATTGAACTTAAAGCTACATGAAATTGTGAACTCTAAGGTATACAGTATGGAACAATAAAAAACATGAACTGGATTCTGCATCACTGAAAGCATTCCTGTGAATTATAAAAGTCCATTTATCATACTTAATAAGTTGGCTGGGAGCCAAAATGTAATGGCCGGGTGTGATTCCTTCCAGAAACACCGTTTATAGTCCTGTACTATTTTGTTTGTAATAACTACTGTGTTGTCTTGGTCTCTAGTGCGCAGTTATAAACATCAGTCTGTACCACATGTTTGACTTTTTAAAATTAGAAATACTTCAGTTCCTGGAAGTCATTTTCAGATATCTTCTTTTTCCTGTTTTTAAATATCTATATGGAATGATTCTGTTTTAGGGATCGGTTGTATGAAAACTATATTTTGTGCCAGTTTGAATTTTGTGTCAGAACCCTGTTCTTTTGAGTGAATGTGATGAGGTCCTTTCCAAATGTAGCATTTGAAGGCTGTAGTATTCTTCGAAAGGGAGCAGCCCCGTGAAGAAGGCATTTTTATTACATTGGATTATGCAAGACTTTGGCCAGCCTCCTTTGCTTCATCTGTTTAAGGGTTCATTTTCGCTTGTTTGGCACAAGTCCCAGTAGAGGCCTTCAGAATTGTGGTTAGCAACATGAATGAATTACAAACTTTGGACGCGCTCTTCAGTAAGTCGAGCTGGCCAGCTGCCAAAAATACAGTGCCTTATATGGGGTCAGGGCAAAGCTGCGATTCGTCGAGCCCTGTATTGTATAGAAAACATACTTGTGATGCCTGTTTGCTTTCTTTTAAAATAAAAACAAAACAAAAAAAAAAACCCACCAGGCTTCTAAGTCTATCAAAATAGGAAGTAACAAAATACTGTGCAGGTTTTACTAATGACAGAGTAAAGCAAAGGAAATATGGCCTGGGAGGCTAAATGTAGGGCTGGAACTGAGACCTTTTGACCTCCTCAGCCGGCTTGTGATGTAAGGGACCCAGGCATTTGTGAGACATCTGTTGTCTACCTGCCCTTATTTTGTAAATGCCTTAATAAGATTAAATAATTAGGAGGAGAACCACGTGATCACCGTGCCCCTGAGTTCTGGCATTGCCTATATACTTTCAAGCTGGAAGCGATAGAATTCATTCTCTACCTGGCATATGTCATTCGTTTTAAAAGTGTTACTCAAAACAAAATTTGCAAATAGCATTTTAAAAATCATGATTTTGGGAAAGTAGAATTAAACTCCTTCTATGTACTCTATTTCATTAGAAATCATGATCTCCTTAGTGCTTTTTCAGACAGTCATTTACTCAGTTAGTTGTTGTATCAATGAGGGCAGAATACCTGGTGACTGGGTTTGTTTGAAAAAGCTAAAAAAGCAATAACTAGTGAAAGCTGTCAAAATACAAGTTATTTATCTTTGCACTTTTTTCCATTTAGGCAAATACCCTGTCTGGATCTTCCTTAAGTCTAGCTCCTTCCCATATGTATGGCAATAGGTTAAATCCAAATTCAGCGATGGCAACTCTTATAGCTCACTCAGAAAACAGTCAAGCAGGTAAGTTTCAAGAAATATTGAAATTCTCCCTAATTTAACTGTCTTTATAGTGAACTAATTTTATTTGTAAACTCTAGGACTATAGTTACTACAGGATTGTGTGATTTTTTTTTCCAAAAGAATCACAGTTGGAAGTAAATGCTCTGCTGTGCCACAGAATAGCCATGTGCATTTTTTACTGTCTGAAATGTAAATGTTTAAGCAGAGCCATCAGCAGGCAGGAATGCAGCAGCGTCTCCTGTGACTTCTGTGATTGATGTGTTCAGTTCTCAGTTCTTCGCAATGAAAGTAACGTAGCACGGGGCTTCTCTGTGAACGGCCTAAACCTTTATTTGCATAATTCATGAAATTGCATTACACAAACTTGGTTTAAAAAGAAATCCTGTTAGAGAACTTCTACAATGTTTAGTAATCCTGTGAATATTTGCCAGTTGACATTTTGTAGCATTTTCCTCTTCTCCTGTTTTAATGAGCCACTGGATTTGCTTTGTTTCATTCCATCCTTAAGGATTTGTTGACATGTCCAAGTAGTCATGCCTGTTTGGGGGAAGGGAATGGGTTTAGCAGTTTACCAAGAATGGATCAGTCATGTCTTTGCCCTCTAAGGGGTCAGAGGTCACTTGACTCAGAATAAGAGGAGGACAACCTTGAAGGGGGCCAGATAGGGTTGTTATTTAACTGAGAGGCCATAGGGAAAATCGTCCGTTTCAGTTTTACCAATGGAAAGGATTTTGTGTTAGCTAAGGAAGTAGAATTTTAAAGTACTTTAAAAGTGTGTCTTATTTTGTTTACTGAATTTTTCATATTAATTTGAAAAGCAAAAAAAAATGTCCAGGTAATATTAAATCCTCATCTAAGTATTCACATTAAACTCAGTGAGGGTCAGCATAGAGAATTAGGTGTTTTATGGCTTGTCTCGGAATGCAAAGTGTTAAAAAATACAAAGCATCAGGATTTGCTGTGATAAGCATACAGATGAGCTGTCCACAGCTGTGATTCATTACTTTCACCGTAGAAATTAAAAGTGGCTGAGGGGAGGGTACTGCAAATGCAAACCACGCTTCCGTGCTGTAAAATTGAAAGGAACGAAAGAACTGAACATAATCCACGGCCTTCTCCACCCACAGAAACATGCAGGGACAACGCCTTACATGCTACAGTTCAGCAATTTTAAACTAGCAACATATTAGGTCTTTTACCTTCGTAGAGACTGCAGAGATAGTGCTTAAGGTCTAATGTATGTTTTAGGGAAAAATCAGAGCAGCAGCTTAAAACCTCTTATCTAGTGAGAGTCACTTTATCAGCTATGAAATATTTACACTGCAGATCCAGATCTTGGAGACAATAGCCGCAGCCTTGTTGGCAGGGGAAGCTCACCCAGAGGAAGTCTCTCACCGCGGTAAGCATTATTTACACTGTAGAGTAAAGGCAAAGGAAACATTCCAAGGTCTGGAAACTTCTTTATCTCTTATCAGTAGCATATACGTTTGTGAGACCGTAAAGAATTATGTAGATAAATGGCATGTCCAGACAGACAAGAAAAGTGGTTTTTAATTTATGTGGATGTTAATTTAAACACATGTGATTATGTTTACAAGTTAAAAGGAATACCTTCTCTTAAGCTTATAATTGCTTTTAGTTTGCCTGTTTTTATCATTTTTGTCTGATGATAATATCTAATCTTTGTTTTTTCAATTGCCTATTTCGATTATAAAATGTGCAGTTGTTAAAAAATCGCTTATTGCACTAGATTAACATGCTAGAGGACTTGTTTTGGGAAATTGAATTTTTTTTCTTTTACAGAGTAAAATAAAGATATTACAGAGAAAAATTGATTTTTAAAATAAATTTCTGGGTCAGATACAGATATTTGTTTTTAACCCAAATGCTAATATATCATATGATGTTTATCAGAAGATGCAGATTTTCAAATAAAAATTTAACAAATTCTCTGGTATACTTTGTGTAAAGTGTTTCACATTAATATGTAAAATTATCTCCGTCTCCTAAAACATGCTTGGAAATCTTGGAAAATCTTTAGTTTATTAAATATTTAGAATCTATCTGTATTAGAGGCCACTTGGCCTCAGAGTCAAGAAGAACTGTGCCCATATTTTGCCTCTCACTTGCTGTATGATCCCTGAGATTGTAACACTTTTGAGCTTCAGAATAGTCACCTGCCTGTTTTGATGGAGGGAATTTTCTCACCAGGAGCTCCCTCTACCAATGAAATGACAGGTCCAGACTAAAGTAAAGGGAAAAAAATAGTAGTGAAAAGAACACTACACTTGATGTAGCTGTAGATGGCACAGTAATTTGAGTGCCAGACCTGGAGTCAGGAAAACTGACTCCAGTCTCAGACGCTATCTGTTTGACCCTGGGCAAGTCACTTAAACTATGTCTCGGTTTCCTCATTTGTAAATTGGAGATCATAGTATCACCCACCTCCCAAGCTTGTTGTGAGGATCAAATGAAATAATATTTGTAAAATATTTTGTAAATCTTTCAAGCACTATCTAAATGCTACCTACTTCTCCTAGCCACCATGTTGGAACAGCTGGGTTATATTCCTTATTCTGTCACTAACAGTTAATGCCAATGGCTTTTTGGGCCTCCATTATCTCCTCTGTAAAATGATGGTGTTGGACTAGATGAGCAGTCAGCAAGCTACAGCCTGTGAACTAAGTATGGCTGGCCACCTGTTTTTGTCCAGGCTGGGAGCTAAGAATGGTTTTCTTTGCATTTTTATATAAAGTTTTGTTATATCTAAAAATATGAGGGAGAAAAAAAAAACATTCTAGGGTGTGATAGATAATCTCTACAGTTCTTTCCAGCCCTGTGGTAAATATAAAAATTCTGTAGGTTCTCTGTTGTAGTACTCTAGTGGTTCTGTGATCTCAGTGAGGTAGATATTATCCCTTTGTCTTTATAGATGAGGCCTATCCACAGTGGGATTTTACATCATAACAAAATATTTTCTGGTACAAGTGTGACCCCTTTTCTGCTATAATTTTAGTGGTTATCTGAGAGTCTATCGTAGTTGCTCATTTTAGGGTCAAATATGTGTCCCTTGGGACTCTTAGCTTAAAACAAGGCTCATGCTAAAACTCCAACACTTCCAAGAAATGCAGTCTGACTATATTCCCAGTCCATCAGACCACTTGCGTTAGTGAGGCAAGAGAAGTTGAAAATTAGTGTTTGGAGGTATAGCCATCGTACAGCGCGCACACGCGTGTGTGTGTTTCAAATCAAATAAGTGGCTTAGGTTTTCTCCTTCTTTAAGGAGTTAGAAAATGTTTTTATTTTGAATTCATCCATGAAAAAAAGGACAGAAAAATTTAAGGCTTGAGATGGTGTGGAACAAGGTTAACTTAGTCCTCTAATTCAGGAAGGACTTGAATGACTTACCTTAATAACTCTCCAGTTCTTCTGACCTTACCCTCTTTCTCCTCTTCTGACTAATCTTATACATTGAAGCTAGGAATTAGGAGTAGAGGGGATGTCAGGAATCCATCCCAGGTACCCCTACCTACTATGCATCAGGCTGTAAATGAAATTTTAATAAAGACTTAAGGTATGAGAGAAATCAGTACTTGCCAGTAATGTCAAACTGTAATCAAAAAAATTCTAACATCAAACCTTATTAATTTTGCAGCATAAATTTAGGAGAGTCGTACTGCTTAATTATCTGTGAATTGCTAGTGACATGATCATTGGCAAGGCTCTCACAGAACCTGAGTTTCATCATCTATAAAATGGTGGGGATTAATAATACTTAGGATACATCTCCCTCATAGGGCTGTTATGAGGAAAATGCATTCTAAAATCTTAGATGGCTATATAAATCAGTTATTTTTCCTCAGTTTTCTTGGATATGTCCTCAAATGTTTTAAACTGTTTGTTCAGATTTCTTCTTTTAGAAGCACTTCAGTAAGTCTGGTAAATTTTAGTCTTACATTTTTAGCCTTGTAGTCCATGATTAATTTCAGTTAGTAATATACTTTGCCCAAGTACACCCAGTGGAGTTTTTTTCCTTTGGAAATCAGGAAATTTAGATAAACAGTGGTTAATTGATGTGCCTAGTCTCACCTCTAAGGTTATTGCTAAAGTTGGGAGTATTACCTTTGACTAAAAGTTTTAGCATACTTTTAAAAATTGATTTGTTGTGGGGGTATTTGTTTATAAGGTGAAAAACTGAAAGACATTTCCTTTCTCCAGGTTCCTTTAGTGATCTGGCCAAACCCTGATGTTTATGCCTCCCATGCAACCTTGGGCAAATCCCCTTCCTCCTTGTGCTTCATTTTCTTCATATGTAAAATGGGGGCATTGGACTCCATGACCCTTGAGACTCTTTCCAGCTTTTAAAATTTATGCTCCATCTTGCCTTTGTGCATGCCTAGCCCTTCTCGATTTTCTAGTTAACTACATACGGTTAGGTAATAAAGCAAAAAAGTTTCTTTTTGGTATTTTGTTAGTTATCCTTCTTAAATCTCAGGGACATAAGAGAAGTAGCTGGTCTGGTGTACTTACTTCCATCTTTTTTTGCTAAACATTAAAATGATTGTCATAAGTTGAATCTCAGAAATGATTTTTTAAAAAGTCTAATTTCATGCTAATCTAGTTTTATAGATATGTTAAAAGTTCATTTATAACTTAATGCTTATGTAAAGTTAATTACCATCTGAAATGTATACTTTATAAGTTATAGAAATTATCATTCTTCACTCCAAAGATTAAAAACGTCTTAGATTCTCATACAGAAAAACAACAAAAATTCATCCAAATGCCCACCTAAAATCTGGCACTTTTTATTCCTGTCTAATAAATATAAAAAGTAGCCCAGAATTTAAAATGGGAATTAAAGGAGACTTCCAAACCGCAATAAGGCATTTTTTTTTGTTTTTTACAGTATATGCAAATTTGTATGATATTTGAATGTTTTAATTCTTCATACTTTAGTTAACTATTATGATAAAAAAAAGTTACAGAATTTTAAAGTATTCTGGATACATGTCTTGACTCAGATACCTCTAGCTATGAAATCCCTGGTTTTTTATCCATCAGGAGTAGAATTTGGTCAGATAGATGAATAAAATCTTTTTAATCATACAGAAATTGAAGATAAACTGGAGACTATTTTGGTCGTTCCCATTATGCTGCGTAGACTTGATTAATGGGCTATACAGGATTTTAAGAATTCAGCTTTTTTGTTTGTTTGGAAGTTTTTGAAGCCCATTTCGGAGATTATGTGCTATATTTGTGTAGCTTATACTGAAATAGTATTTAGTTATTTTCCAGATATATTAACTCGTGTTAAATTTGAAGGGGCAATATTTGGTATTAAATTTTTGGTTAGATTTTGTTTCAGAGATGGTTAGCATAAGCAACTAAATACTGGAAAACCAGGAATGTGTAGACATAAGGGGTTAAAATAAAACAAGGTAAGAAACCTTAGTAGACCCTTCCTTGCAAGTCCTTCCCTTCTTTTTAATGTATGAATTATACTGTTTTCAACAGCTCCCCTGTAAGCAGCTTACAGATTCGCTATGATCAATCAGGCAACAGCAGCTTGGAAAGTCTGCCCCCAGTAGCAGCCAGCATAGAGCAGCTTTTGGAGAGGCAATGGAGTGAAGGACAGCAGTTTTTGCTAGAACAGGGCACCCCTAGTGACAGTAAGTATTCCTTTTCTTTTCTTTGAATAACTGCTGTGTCTCAAGCAACCTATAGCTGCTGAAGAGTTTAATAAACTGCATGTTATTTAGCACTACTAAATAAATTATTATATTAAATATTGATCATTATTGACTTCTTTTTGGTTCTACTCCATTCTTGTGTTTGAAATTGCAATGACTGTGTCTTAGCTTTATTATCTTAAGAAGAAAGAAGCTGTCTTTTGAGAAGTTCACGTAAGGCCTTTTCTGAGTATGGTCAGCATTTTTAGTATTTTTTTGATTTCTGTTATTCATCAGGGCCCACAAGTTAGTGATGCAAAAAAAAAATTATTGTTTCAGATGGTTTTTAACTGAGAAGATCGAGTTGTACGCAGATTTAAAGAAAAAATCGTTAAGAAGTGTCATGGTTTGGGGGAGGGTATAAACCTTCTTTGCTTTTGTTTCATTGAAAAAGCTCTTTGCTTGGTGTTAGTGAGCCAAGTGCTATCTCGTTGGTATTTTTATGAATGGTATCCTGACAAAAATGCTAATTGTGAGGAAATTCATGCCGGGATAATCCTTTAAACATGATAGCTGGAGGACAGGTTTAGCTTACTCTTATTGCATCTCATTTGGGCACACTGAGGGTTCCTTTGTATGTTCTTGAAGAGGCAGGGATAAAAGTTAAATCCTTGGGAAATGACCAGATGTGCCTATACCAGTAGAGTTGTGTCTGGAGTAGGCCCAGAGGTCACATTAAACAAATACAACTTTTTAATACATCACTGTGGCTGCACAGCAACCCTCTCTGGGTTGCCAATTGGGAGATCCAAGTTCTAGAATTGAGACAGAATTTGAGGTAATGGGCAGGGTCAAAGCTGACGATTTAGGATGGGGTGCACTTTATCTCTAAAGGGTGATGGTTGCAGTGCATACACAGTGCTCCCTGCTGGGTGATCCGGAGATCAACATTGGTAGCAGCTGGAATATGAGGCCCCCAGCCAGGTATATAGAGTAATACAAATTAATTTAAAATAAATAAAGAAATTGGTGTGCTATGTTTGTGGCAGAGGATTTTGTTTATTGATAAGTAAATTTTGTTTTTAAATGTAGCCTTGATGAAAAATCACGTGCATATGAAAGCCAGTCTTTATTTTTATTTAAACTCTTTTATCTTTCAACATTTCTATTTTGATTGTGGATAATATGTAAAGCCTTTGGCACTGGGCTGGGCATAGTTCCCTTTCTTTCAAAGGTATATTTATATTCATAGACACATAAATTAGGCATCCAAAAATAAAAAGCATTTTCCTTCACTTCAGCCTCAAATAATTTAGACAAAATGCACAGCAGGTTCCATCCGTCTTGTTTTATTTCCCATTCTATATTTTACATGGAACTAAAATTATTGACATCTTTAGTACTTGACTTTTTCAATAATTAATATACATGGAGCGGTGGAATAGTTTTAGGTTTTCAGATAATGAAATAAAGTAGAAACATGTTTCTAAAAGTTATTCACTCAGAATATATCCCAAAGCAATAATTCCAAAGAGGGGAAGGTGATCAAGGATATTCATAGTAGCATTATTTATAATATTGAAAAATTGGAATCAATGCAAATGCCCAACAATAGAGGAATGGCTAATCAAACCATGTGTTATTAACATGATAGGCTACTCTGTCTATTAGAAATGATAAGCATTAGGTCATCCATCTATCCATCCATCCAGGGAAACTTGTGTGTAAACTCTAACGTGAAAAGAGCAGAGTGCAAAATAGTGTGATCACAACAATGAGAACTACATGGGAGTATGTGCGTGTCGGCAAGGACCAGAGAAAAAGTGGGTGTGATGTCAGTAGCTTCACAAAGTTCATGTGGGTTTTTTTTTCTCGTAAAGTGGCTTAAACTTCTAAAAGTCATCCTGTTCATGAGTCATTTGATGACTAGTTCTAGGAATGCTGAAGTCCTTACACCAACTTCAAGTTGAAAATCGAAGACTGGAGGAACAGATCAAAAACTTGACAGCGAAAAAGGAACGTCTTCAGTTGCTGAATGCTCAGCTCTCTGTCCCCTTTCCTACCCTGACCACCAATCCTAGCCCATCTCATCAAGTCCATGCTTTTCCAGCACAAACTGGTAAGTACAAAAAACTATTGTTTTGTGTATGTAAAGAGTGTTGACTCTACTTTCAGAGTTTCCCTTCCTTCCTGTCTAACAGCTGGGATGTGGATGTGGATGCACACACTTTACGTACTGGGATGGAGAGAGAGAAAGAGACAGAGACAAGAGCTGATTGCCCAGCTGGCCTTGGAGCGGGAAGGCCTGGGTTCCAGTCCTGCCGCTGACACATACCTGTGCGGGGCCCTGAATCTCCCAGCACTCTAGCCCAGTGGGGTCAAACTCAAATAGATTATCAGATCCCTGCAGGTTCCATATTGACTTAGAAAAACTACAAATTGATACTACATTGAATTGTATTTTTATCTATTTCATTAAACTCTTCTCAATTTTGGGGGCTGGGGCTGGGGGAGTTTGACCCCTCTCTGACTGGAAGTTGCCACGGAGGTGCTGACCTGCTTTGGTGGAGGGAGTGTCCTTACTGGGGAGATTCCCATGTCAGTGAACTCACAGGTCAAGCCCTTCTCCCTTACGTCATGCATGCACATCTGTTTCCTGAAGTGGCAAGATTTTAACATGTTCAATTTTTTTTCTTTGTTCAGCTTGGCAGTTTTGTTTAGCTTTAGCATGAGCTTTTGCTTTAGTTGTATATGAATCCAGGTCATCAATCTCATAAGTTCTTTGGAACCGCCATTTTGTTGGTAGTTTAACAAGAAAATCTGATTGTGTTCTTTTTCTTTTTTTAGCTCCCACCACCGATTCCTTAAACAACAGTAAGAGTCCCCATCTAGGACACAGCTTTTTACCTGATAGTTCTCTTCCTGCACTCAATCAGGTAATTGTGGCATGGTTTTTCTGCTGTGTGTCACCTCTAACCTTTTGCATTACACTCTCCCCAAAATCATTGACTAGCTCTGCTCTGCCAAGCTCTTTGCCATTCAGCTTTCTGTTTTCCTACATCAGGACTTAACCTCCAGTGGACAAAGCACCAGCAGTTCCTCAGCCCTCTCCACTCCGCCTCCTGCTGGGCAGAGTCCAGCTCAACAAGGCTCTGGAGTGGCTGGAGTTCAGCAGGTCAATGGGGTGACCGTGGGGGCGCTGGCTGGCGGCATGCAGACTGTAACATCCACCATTCCTGCGGTGCCTGCAGTGGGTGGAATAATTGGAGCTCTGCCAGGTAACCAACTGGCAATCAATGGAATTGTAGGAGCTTTAAACGGCGTCATTCAGACCCCTGTCACAATATCGCAGAACCCTACTTCCCTCCCCCACACGCCTGTGCCACCTAATGCAGCCCATCCACTGCCAGCGACTCTGAACAACAGGTAAGACGCCGACAGAAACCGCATCGGGACTGTTAATGTTTCCCAGGCTCTTGGAGGAAGACCCCCATGTTTTTTCTTTAATATGTTTTTTTAAAATGAATTCTTTGTACTTGAGCTATATACAGCATTTTCAAAACAGACTAATCCAGGTGTTTACAGAACCAGTGACAGAGGCATGTTTTTATTTGTGGATATCATGTTATTCAGAAGAAAAACACAGATTTGGTTTTGTCATCTACACTAGCATGGAAAATGTTAGTTCACTAGCTTTTTGTTTTAATTATTTTTTGGTCTATAATACATATTTTTAAAAGCACTCCTCCCCCATCATTATCTGTATTTTCATGTCATTTGGTGAAATTTATAAATTCTAGAGAGAAGTAATATTATGATAGAGTTAGTTACTCCTTGAATAGTAAGTCTTTTAAAAGAGAATTGAGTGTGCATTTGATTTACCTTTTTAGAATTAAGATATAAAATTGTCAAATACATTGTGAATATCAAGTGAATGATCAGTTAAATTAATTTTTCCATAATTCTCATGTTGAATATTACTTGAAATAAGTGGGTAGTCTGGACTCAGAAATATTTTTACTAAACACAGCTTTGGGAATTAGTATATTCTGAGCAAACTTTTAAAAATCTGTGTTGTTTTTTAAAAATTTTCCACTTTCCTCCCTTCCTTGAAAGCTTAAGATACTGAATGCTTTTTGCATTTGGTTTTCTTTGTTTAAAAAATGCGATTAAAATGTTGGTGAATTTTTAAACAAATTGTTCTTGGATAACTTAAGAATAAGTGTGTTAATATTGACTGCGAGTTTGTAAAATTCTATACAATAAGCCAGCGCTTTTTTTTTTAATTCATGGGAATAGAGATGTGAGTGGGTGTGAGTGTGATCGCATGAGAATTTGTAGAGGTGTTGACTTCAGAACAACTGAAGAGACAAGTTTCTGCTCCCAGCCCATGGTCCTCTTTGTGATTTTGTCTCTGTATTAAAATTTCAAATGAGAAGAATTTAATTCTAAAAAACAAACCACAGAATTATATGGAAGAAAGTCAGAATTTCAATCGTTACTTTTCAGTGCCTCTGGACTAGGCTTATTGTCTGATCAGCAAAGACAACTACTTCTACATCAGCAGCAGTTTCAACAATTGTTGAATTCTCAGCAGCTTACATCTGTAAGTCCTTCATTTCTTTTGTCGTGACTTTGTTTTAATACTTAGCAACAAATCTTTGTAGTGTCCGTTTGTTTTTTTTTTTTGGATTACCAATATAAGAAATATGTCAATAAAAGCCTTGCCCCTAAGATTGATAGATTTGAAAAACTCAGTCTAGAAACAGTCAAGATCGAAAATAAATGTTTTCTTTTTTTGCCCTGTGGATTAGCCTAGATAAGTTTCACTACAAGAATGCTTTTCCCTGACTCCCAGCAAAGTCCTGGGATACCTGGAGTAGATTTTTATTGTTTAGTAAGACATCAAATAACCAAAAAATTGATGGGATGCTGTGCTTAATTCAGTTCTCTTTTTAGCTTAGGATAAACCACTAAATAAATTTTTGTTTGTTTCTTTCAAGTCCTAAGTGTTAAAAACTTTTCTGAAATGTGAAAGTACACATTTCCTGACTATGTAATTAGAGAATGCTCAACGTGATTTATGTATAGTATAGATAGCAAAGGATTTCTTTGATTTAGGTTGTTGTCGGCCATTGTGATCATTAGCCTGAATATTGGCTCTCACTGTATAGTAAATACAGATGATAAACTTATCCCATAGTTTACTTTAAAGGTCATGCTTTGGCCAGGAGTGAGGAAGAAGAAGGCTGGGAATCTTATGTTCTTGGCTCTTATATCCTTTCTCTTGAAAGTAATATACGATAAACTGGTTAATTGAGCTTTCTATTTAATCAAGAGTTACTGTAATTAGTAGATATTACATTTCCAGCCCACAGTGAATTACCTTGTTAAGTTTTCTGCTGCAAAGTAAGTGCTTGGTAAATATTGTTGAGTGTAAAGTGACTTCTAGGGCTAGGACTGAAAGCATTTAAATCCTGTTCTCCTGGTTAAGTCAAGACTTTAGGAGTATATCATTCCTGTTGTCATTACAAGCATATTAGACATAATTGGCTGCTTCTTTGATTGTGGGAAAATTTTTCTATAGATAATTTTCATATGGCCAAGTCAAGAAAACGATTAGTTCTTGGGTACTAGTGGAATTGTAAATACATATCTAGTAAAGTATGTTTATTTAATTAGTGAGTTTTTTATAAATTTGCTTTGTTAGGAAAAAGGGTTATTTTTGAGAGTATTATTTTCCCATCAGATAAGGTGGGATAGCATTCCTTCCCTGTGAATTTGAAAATAACAGATTTATAAATATCTAAGATTAGACTTTAAATATGGTATCAGTTAAAAAGGGAAGTATGTGCCAAGGGCCTAATCTAATATGATTGATTAGGAACTCATTTTGACCCCTATTCCTATTTTTCTTCAACCCCTTTTCTGTGTCTTTGCTTAGGAACAACATCAGGCCCTCCTTTATCAGTTAGTACAGCAGCAGCACCACCAGCAGCACCACCACCAGCCTGAACTGCAGCAGCTTCAGCTCCCGGGCCCATCGCAGATACCCATAAATAACCTCCTGGCAGGCACCCCAGCACCCCCACTTCACCCGTCAACCACCAACCCATTTCTCACAATTCATGGGGATAATACAAATCAGAAAGTAACAGTAAGTAGACTTTATTGTGCTACATGTATTACCAAGGTGTTGGTAGAATTGTTAGATCTAGTCATCCTTGAATTGCAAGCTAGAAGGGAATCTTAGAAAGTATCTGTTCCAAGTACTCACCTTATAGATGGGTCATCTGGGGCCCACTGAGGCAGGAAAGTCAGCTGCCAGAGGTTACACAGTGAGTAGAGTCCAGATTCAGAACCCCAGTCCTCATATCCAAATTTACTGTTTTTCCCTGCTGCCTTTGATCTAACCTTTGTTTTTATTTGTGTGCAAAGTTCCCCTGATAATTATTTCTTAAACCAGTTGTCTTAGCAACTGGTGGGGGGAAAAAAAAGCAAAGTAACTGAGCCAACTTATTATGCATTTTCTAATTATATCAGGCTATATTTGCACATAGATTTAGAGAATATTTCTTTAAAAAAACAAACAAACAGAAAAATATATTTAAGCTGTACAGCATGGCCACTTAGGTGTTTCTAAAAAATCCCCGCTTTGTGCAATTTGATCTGTTATTTGAATAATTTAAAACTTTTTTCCTTAAAATAAAGGAATTATGCTTATGCTAAAATTAATTCTTAAATTGTCTTTTAATTTGATTACTCTCCTCCTAGAAAAGTAAATAAAATCCCAGTCACTAACAGGCTAGAATGAATTTTATTAATTTCTTTACCTCTGTTTTTCTCATTTTCATGCAAATTCTAGTCCACAATCACTGACTGAGGTAAAACTTAGGGTGGAGAAGGTGTGAAGAAAAGACTGTGATGGCAGGCACAGCAGTAGAGCTTTCATGTTACCAAACAGCATCGCGCCTGCAATTAGCCAAGCAGGAATCCGGCTCAGGGTCAGATGCTAAGGCTGAGTTCCAAATGAGAGCAGGCTTCAGGCCAGGTGTGCTGGGGGACGAAGAGCTCCCTGGGCAGTGGAGAGGGACTGGGACCCTACGGGAAGTGTCGAGCAAGCTTAGGGACTTGATTTTAGAGCAGGCGTTTCCCTTGGCCTTGTAAAGGTTTCCATTCTGTGCTTTCTGACCAAAAACTGCGCATTTGGCTTTTGTTGGAAGGAAGGGGTTCATTCAGCATGTGTTTTAATGAAATTATTCATAGCCAACTTCAGGTTTATAATTCATTGTCTAATTGGCCAAGTCTACATTTCTTAATTGCCCCACTGTTTTTAAGGACAGTCCCTGTCTTCTTAATTTTGAAATAACTGTCATTCTCATGGACTCAGTCACAGCTTTACTATTTTGCTGATTTCTTTGAATTTCAGTAGTTCTATATTGATTTTTGAATAGTTTTGTGTCTTCCTTCCCAGTTCTTCAAACACAAGTTGTTGCCAGACTGATGAGGTGAAGTTACAAGTCAACTAACATTGGATTATACAGCAATATAAATGTATCTTTTGGTTAACAGAGCCCAGGAATGGAGAAGAAATGAAGCCTTGATGGTACATTTAGGCAGCTTTGGAGGAATACAGATGTGACAGGAAGAAGGCCCAGAGCCTAGAATAACTGGAGATGTTTAATTAGCATAACCATAGAAAAGAGTTCTCTTTCATGCCTCGTAAATAGCATCCCTGGAAAAATAAGAGGAGTTAAATACTCTGTCCATATGCTGCTCAATTTCATTTTGCTTTTATACGTAAAGTTTAGAGTATCTCCACCTCCAGAGACTATTGGCTCTCCAGAAAAGAACTATCTACCTTATTTTAAATCATACTTTATGTTGCTATGGCACTGATCATGACTTAGGATGTTTTGTTTGCCCAAAATTGATTTGCCAACTTTGATTTAAAATATTTTGAATTTTAATTGCAGAGACTTAATGATAAAACTGGGCCTGTTGCACAAGAGAAAAGTTGACCCATAGAAACATTTTGGAAACTCCTTATCCTGCTGTTTTAGCACTTCTTATGGCTGCTATTGCAGTCCTCCTTTCTGCAACTATGAAGAATGCAACAAGGAGCTAACTGCACAGCAAAGGATGGTTTGTCATGAGGACATTCTTCTAACGCTTTGATTTACTTCCTTGTTGCTTTGTTGCACTGAAATGGAACTCTTCTCCCCCAAGATTTCATGAACTTTGAAGGAAAGTTCAGCAACTAATTATTTTTGTCAATGCAACAACGTACATGCAATGAGTGCATCAACCATAAAGAGAAAACGTATCGTTGGTGCACTATTTTTTGTTACAAATTGGACTTATAAATAGCAAAAGTGAAGACTTAATCCAATGACAAATTACTTGATTTTTAATACATAAGTTGAAAAGAAAAAAGAACCAACAAAACCGTAATCTTTTGCTGTGGCTAGATATGCTTGACTGCAGGTCAGATCCTGTTAACACAATCTGAGGGACTGTCCGGAATATTTTCTTGTACTGGAATTTTATTGTATTGGAAATTGCTTGAAATAAATGGGTCATCAGCTGGGGCTTGGGCAATCTTTTTATTAGAGAGATTTCCTTTATAATGGGACTTGATCTGTATTGTTAATCAAGTTCTGATGGTAATGTCTACTGCTAAATGCTTTTACTTTAGAGTTGGTACTGACTTATTTTGTAACACAAAGCTATTAACCTTAAGCAAGTTTTGGGCTGCTGGGTGAACTAGATCAATTCATATAGAAAGAATCCTTTCCATAAGAGAAGGCCACTCTGGAAAGTGCTGGTCATGTCTGGCCTCGACCAAGTGCCTGGAAGTACCTCCATTGTGTTGAAATGGCTCTAGACAGCTGAGCTTGCACTGTGGACAGTCGTCGTAAACAGTGGGAGTTTGGGACATTGGACCAGCAGCCTTTCCTCTGGTTCTGCCTTTATTAAAACTTTCTATGCCACTGTAGATAGCTCAGGCAAAACTATTACCTGGGTGTTTTTCCACTAATGAGTCACCACAAAAGGGAGTGGACATGCAAAAAAGATGTTTTGTTTAACTGCGTCCCATCACTGTCAGTGATTGAAACACCCCAGTGTTTAAAACAGGTAAAACTTGTATTACGACACTTCTGCTTAGGGTAGCTAAGCTCCTGGTGTGACAGTAAGGCAGAGTAGAAATTAAACAATTGGGGCAATAACCACTGATCTGTACTTAAATGTGTGAATTATTAGTGGAAAAGACCCAGCTGTAATTAGACCTCCACTGTGTACTTAGCTGGAAGAACATGTTAATTCTGCAATATGTCTCTTGGTTAAACATTGCACAGTTCTTACCTCATTTCTGTAAATAAGGTTTTGTGAATCTGTTTTGTATTGTGAAAAATTAATAAGAAAACATTGATATTTTGATTTGTAATATTTCTAATTGGTAGATTTAATTGAAAAAGTAAAAATTAATTTATTTTTATATGTTCAGGGGGATTTTAAAGAAATTGTCAAATCATTTTTGTAGATACTTTACAAAAGTAAATCAGTGTGGTTTATTTTACTTAGCCCACTGGTTGTTATTCTGTAACAATTTGTATAAACGGTAAAATTTGAATGTGCTGTTATTTTACCTAGTTGTAAAATTCCAATGTATTAAAAGAAATGTGTACAAAGTTTTTTGTTAATAAAATTTAATAATGTTTATAGCCCTGTGGAGAAATGGAGGTTGGAAGACCTGCATTTGTCACTTAAGCATTGCTTGTGTTATTTTGTGTACTTTGTCATTGCAGTGCATTAAGCATCTCAACCTTACCTTCCCCCCCCAAAAAAAAGGTAAATAATTTGCTCTTATTTGAGCTTTGCCCAAATGGCAACGATATGGATGATGTCACTGAATTGATGGTAGCATTAATTCTTGTTAAAAAAGAATTCCCTTTGTTTTTTACAGTTAGCTGTGTATATTACTCAACAAAGAGAGCGTGGGTAATTGAAGTGACCAAAGAGAAGCAGAAAGCGGAGGGCTTTAGATAATTCAGTGACCCATACAGGCAACTCCCTAACAATTAGGAGTGGACTGGGGGGGGAGGGAAGTAGTCCCAATGCTACTGGAAGTGAGTTTCAAGCTCTCACTTAGCAAAGCTATCATCATCTCAATTGAAAAAACAAAAACAAAATGTATCCTTTGTCCTTCTCCTTCATTACCAGATGTGACACCCCCCCCCCCATGCCAAGTGATTTCAGTGTTTACCTCCCTTACTTTTTCATGTTTTATTATGGTTATACAGTAGAGTCTATTTGAGGCTGATGTGCAGCTTTTTTGATTTTCTTGTCTCTATGAATGAATGAATGAATGAATGCGCACTTACATGCTTGATATGTTAAGACACTATGCTAAGCAAGAAGAATGCAAATAAAAACACGCAAGACAGCCATTGCCTTCAAGAAGTAAATTCTAATAGGGGAAGATGACACATGAAAGTTGACTAGAGCTAAAAAACTTAAAGAAGGGAGGAGGTGGTTGGGAAGCAGCCAAAAGTGGCATGGTGGCTGAGGGCTGGGCCAGGAGGAGGTGAGAGCTCACCTAGCAGAGGCCATGGCCCCAAGTTTGGAGTCCAAAGTTGGGAGAGAGGAGGGGAGCTGGAGGGTAGGTGGCATGGTTTAGAAACAACGGGGAAATGCGTCTGATACTTACAGCTGGCCTTCTTCCAGTCTGGTATGACTTAACGGCCTCAATGGTAAACCATAATCGGAAATATATTGCCTCTTTGCATGTCTGGTTATGTTAATCCTCGTGTACAATACACACTCTGTGCGGATCCTCCAAAGTGTTCATTTTTACTGGATGACACCTTCTGAGCTGAAAACATGGCTCCATAGGGAAAGCACATCTGGGATGCTGAATACTGTGAGTTTGAGGGTAATGGTAGGGCAAGAGGCTGGGTATTATGAAATTAATGTTATCCATGCATTTACTTACATCAAGAACACAGGATCAAGGATGAATATAAGCCCAAGTAAAAAGAAAAGAAGCAAGTTAGAGAGTCATAGGGTTATAAGTTGAATTGGAAGAGGCATTAGAGCTCATTTTACAGGTGAGGAAACTGAGGTCCCAGAGACATCACACAGGAAGTGTGAGCAAGAGCCTCTGATTCCACATCTGCTGTGACTTTCTCCTTTACTAACCACAGGAGAAACGTGGTTAAGAAAAGAAAGATGCTGGGCTAGAAATTGAAGGAAGCAAAGAACTTATCCTCAGTTCACTTTCAATTTGTAAGTAGATCATGTGCTTTTGCTTTTTCTCAAAGTAACTAAACACTTAACATCTCTTAGATAAATAACAGCAACTACATAGGTTTGCACCTGAGCTTAAATTACAGGCTACTGAAAGAAATCCCTGTCAGAATGACTGCCAGGAATGTTTCCTTGTTCCCCTTGATAACATCGGGTCAGCGTAGCAGGGCATGGGACTATTTGTTAAATCGAGAGCATACAGAGGCTTGTCACAGGTTTTGTAAGCCAAAGGTGATATTGACGTTACCCGTCTAACTTGCCATCCAACCGTAGCATCTTAGACCAAAGCATTTTAGCCCCACCTTCCAAACTCTGGGTTGACAGTACCATTGAGGAGTGGTATTTGGCCATCAAGTCACGGTTGAGACTGGTGTTTGGAGACAGCATAACTTTAGGCATGAACGTATCAAACAGGCCCATCACTAACTCACAGGCTTCTCTCAGCACGAGTTGGAGGCATATGTGGTGGCACGGTTACTCCATAGGTTCACAATGGGAATCTGGGAAAGAGGAAAACTTAAAATAATTGAAAAACAGATTAAAGGAGGAGAGAAGAGTAATTTGAAGGAGTGATGGTTTATGAGTTAGCAGTCGTATCAAAACAGTGTAATTCATTCTGGGTTCCATCTTTCATATTGAGAATTTCTTCCACTTGACATATTTGTGACAAGGGTATGTTTAGTGACCACCCCAAAGTTAGAACAAGGATGGCACTCTAAAGTATAAAGGAAAGCACCCCTTAATAATATCCTGGAAGGGCCTCACCAAAGTTTTTACTAATCAAGAAGAGTTTAATTTCAGAGCTAGACAATTCATTAGAGAACATCTCATTCAATATCCTTGTATTTCTGTTGAGGAAACTGAGGCCCAGAGAGACTGTGGCTCCCTCAAAGTCACACAGTTAAGTACTGTAAGTAACAGAGCCAGGATTCAAAACCTATGTCTTCTGACCCCAACAGTACTCTTTCTCCTGTGCCACTCTGAATTTCATCACTTAGTCCCACAATTATTAAATAAAAATTCATTTTTGGTATCACATAAGTGCTTCTAAACTCCACTGCATTTTGCTTGAAGGTATCTGTTTCTGTAATCACTGAACTCCCAAAATACAGAAGGAGATCAAGAACTCCACTGCTTCAAAACCATTGGAAAGACTTTTTATAGTTGAGTATTCATTCAAGGCAGTTAAAGAGGCAAATACCTACTTTCTAGATCAGTTGTCCAGGGTGCCAGATGGTGGGTCCAGGGTGTGGGTCTTAATACATGATAAGCTGTTTTTCCCACGGTATCCATCCAGTTCTGATAAATTTGCCATAGAGGAGCTCAGACCAGTGCTTAGAAAAGTTTCTGGAGAATTACGCTTGAAGAAAATTGTGCTTAACTATGAGCCACACACCCTGCTGATGCCATTTTGTGGGAATGCCCCTGTGCATTCACACCAGCTGGGTCCCATTCCTCAGCCACCCTTACATTCCTGCCTTTCAGATACCTTCTTCATCTCCTTTTCCAAGTCTCAGCTCAGGGGCTGCCTTGACTCTGAAGCTTTCCCCATTCTCCCTAGTTAACAGTCTTCAAATTACTTATTTAAAAAAGTTTAAATTTTTATATTTTTCAATCAACAAAACTCCACGTTGTTTCCTTCTACCCTCCTTCCCTCACTATTGAGAAAAAAAATCAACTCCTGTTGCAAACATATGTAGTCAAGCAAAACAAATTCTTCCATTGGACATGTTAGAAAAAGTCTTGATCTGCGCTTGTCTCACCTCATTGTCAGGAGTTGGGTAGCAGGTAGCATGTTTCATCATGAATCCTCCACAATTGTTGTGGGTCATGTGTTGCTTGTTCTAAAGTCTTTTAAAGTTGTCTTTGCAGTAATGTGTAAATTGTTTTCCTTGTTCTCACCTCATTGTACGTGAGTTCATACAAGTCTTCCCAGGTTTCTCTAAAACCATCACCAACATTTCTTACGGCACAATAGTATTCTGTCACAGGCAATACCTTGTTCATCCATTTCCCAATTGATGGACCCTCTTAGTTTCCAATTCTTTGGTACTACATATGGGTCTTTTTAATTTTTTTTGGTCTCTTTAGGGTATACACTTAATGCTGGCATTGCTGGGTCAAAAAGTATTCACAGTTTAATAACCTTTTGGGTCATAGTTCAAATTGCTTTCCAGAATGGCTAGACTCCCACACAGTTCCAACAGTGAATTAATGTACCTGTTTCCCCACAATCTTTTCAGCCTGTCTTATGTTGTTGTTGTTGTTAACTTTGCTAATATGATGGGAGTGAGGTGGAGTTGTTTTAATTAGCATTTCTCTAATTGATGGTGATTTAGAACATTTTTTTTTTGGTATGGCTATTGATAGCTTGGATTTCTTCCTCTGAAAAATGCCTGTTCATATTCTTTGACAATTTATCAATTATAGCTTTTATTCTTATAAATTATTCCATATATACATATATTTTGTATATGTGATATATGGATGGAGACCTTTATCAGAGAAACTTGCAAAGATGTTTTTTCCTCATCTACTTGCTTCTCTCCTAATTTTAGGTGTGTTAGTTTTGTTTGTACAAAACCTTTTTAATTTTATGTATTCACAGTTGTTCGTTTTATCTCCAGTGATCCTCTCTATCTCTTGTTTGGTCATGAACTCGTCTTCTATCCATATATCTGACAGATAATTTCCTTGCTTCTCTCGTTTCTTTATAATGTCACCCTTTATGTTGATAAGTCATGTATCCATTTGGAGTTTATCTTGGCATATGGTGTGAGATGCCGATCTGTACCTAGTTTCTGTCAGACTGCTTTCCAGGTTGCCCAGTGGTTTTTGTCAGATGCTGAGTTCTCATCTCAATAAAGCATGTATATCTGTGTACTTATCTGTATTCTTATCTGTATTCCTCCAATATTCAGTCTAATCCAGCAAACATTTGTTAAGCGCTTACTTTGTGTAAGGTAGTCCTAGGCACTAGATATAAAAAGAAAAAATGCCTTCAAGGAGATTGTATTTGACTGGCAGATAAAGCATGTAAACTACTAGGCACACACACGGTCAATTCCAGGGCTTAGTGTGCTTCCAGGTACATAGTAAGTATTTAATAATTGCTTATTAATCGATGAGGAAAGAGAATTGGGAATGGCTTTCAAAGAAAATTGCAAAGAAGCTGAGCTTTGAAGGAAACTAGGAAATCTCAGAGGTGGAGGGAGGTAAGAAAGAACTGCATTCCAAACCTGGGGGACAATCTATGCTAAAGTACAGAGATGGTAAATGTCAAGTTCAAGGAACAGCAAGTAAGCCAGTTTGGTTGGAACACAGAATAAGTGAGGGGGAACAAAGCAGAGTAAGTCTAAAAAGCTCATCTGGACCCAGATTGTGAGGGGCTTTAAATGCCAGGCTGGGGAGCTTT